CTGCTGGCTAGGATATGTGTGGGAGGTCTGTGTCATGGCAAGATCCTGTTAAGGGTATCTGTCAAGTTTAATTGTCTCTTTCCAGAAATAACTTTTTAAAAAAATGTTTAAATAATCACGCCTAGTTAATCAGTGTAAACCCCAGCTACTGCAGACAAACCTCCACCAAAGTACCCATCTCTTTCTTATCCACCCCCACCACATAAAGGTGCTCAATAAATAGCTCAGTTGGTTCTCAGGATAATCCAGGCTTCAGCCAAGTATTCAGGCTATTTTTAGCCTTGCCCCCAGGTTATCCACCTTTTTCTCTCCCTTACTACCTCCCTGCACAAGCCTTCTGCTCTGGTTCAAGCCTTGTTTGGACAACATTGTCCACTAAGCTGATTTTCATACACTGTGGCCTTAAATTATATTTTACACCTTTACTCAACTTTCTCAGTTTGCCCTCTCTCTCTAACTAGACTCTTGACACCTAAAGAGCATGGTGAGGAGCAAGTAGATGGCATAGCAGTTATGGTGCTGGACTCCCACATAGCCAGCAGTGGTTCGAGTCGCGGACCTGGTGGCTACACAGATATATGTGATTAAATGTAATAAAAAATAATAAAATGTTTTAAAAATACGAAAGAAACTGGGAAAAGAAGAGTGGGAACCAGCAGTTAACATAATGGCTATTTCGCTGGATTCCCACGTAGTCTACTGCGGTTCGCGTCCCGGACCTGGTGGCTTAGAACTCACGCCGGGCGCCTTTGTGTGCGTGCCCAAGATCCCGAAAGGAGAATGGAGGAGAAGGGATTGCGGCGTGACCATCCCCCCGGAGGGTGATTTCTTGCTTCCTGTCTCTATGTCTCTTTCTGTCTGTCTGGCGAGCGCACGCGCCCTATAGCGAAAACCTCTCAATTAAAAAAAAAAAAAAAAAAAAAAAAAAACCGAAAGAAACGCACACAGGGCACTTGTGCTTACATGCCCAAGATCCTGGCAGGAAAATGGAGGGGGGATTGTGGTGTGGTCATCTCCCCTGGGGGGTGATTTCTCACTTTCCCTTTCACTGTCTATCTATCTCTGGCGAGTGCATGTTCCCCAAGGCAAAAATCTCTTTTAAAAAAAAATTAAAAAATAAAACAGGGTGAGCCCATGTTATGACTTCCTCATACACCCTCCCTACCTCAGCATCTAGTGCTAGTTCACTGTCCCTGAAAACCAAGTAAGTAAATAATTTGATTTGACCCTCACCTGTCATTCTCAGGAATTTCTTCCACACTTCCAAAGCCAGGTGTGGGCACTGGGCAATCCATGTGTGAGGGTTGGGCGATATGAGGCTCAGGGACAGGGATGTCCCCAGGAGAGGCTGTGTGGGCTTTCTCGGCATCAAGCCGAGCCAGTTCATGGTCACACACGAAACACTCAAAGCCGTTGAGGTAGTTGGGCAGTAAAGGGTCATTCACTCCCCACTCTCGATTCTTCAGGCTATCCAGGAGGAGCTGGTTGGTGATACCCCCGGGTTGCTTGTATGCCAGGTATTTCATATACTCCTCATCATTCTTGTCCAAAAAGTCAATGAACTCTGCTAGCTGCTGAGGAGACTCAAAGTCGTCAATAAGAATGATGGAGTGATTGTTGGGCATCCAGTCCCTCACAGATGGAGAGCCGCGGTACACGGGCACGGCGCCCAGGTGCAGGGGGCGCCACAATTTTTCTGTCATGTAGTCGTTACAGATGGCATTTTCAAGGGCCAAGTGGAACTTATAGCGGGACAAGAAGTCCAAGAGCTCCGGATCCTCGGTGGTGGCTGTGGCCGTGTCCTGTAACCGCGCGGTGGGCAGCTCCCGATTCTGCAGGCATTTCCCATATGAGTCCACCTGGGCGGGTACATACAGTCATGAGGGTTCTGCCCAGGGGCCTGGACATCGGGGACCCGGCCTCCGCCCGCCCACTCTACTCCCTCCCGCCTGTCGCGGCCCGCCCAGACCCACCGGGATGTAGCGCATGAGCTCGCGCACGTAGCGGTCCCGGTCTGCAGGCACGTCGCAGTGGGACTGCAGATAGAGCC